AAATCATGCAAAATCTCGCATTATCAAATGTAACTTAAGTTTGATCTTTTTAAAGATTTTAATTAAAAAACCTGACTCGACGAGAATAATGATGATCATCCATTGTTTATTTTATATTAAATCATGCAGAATCTCACATTATCAAAATGTAGCCCAAGTTTTAATGAATATGCATGTAAGTTTTGATATTTTTAAAAATTCTAGTTAAAAACAAACTCGACGGGAATAATAATGATCATCCCATTGTTTATTTTAATTATTCAAAATCCTACAATGAAAATTTATATTAAATCATGCAAAATCTCGCATTATCAAATGTAACTGAAGTTTTAATGTAATGAATATGTAAGCTTTGATATTTTTAAAATTTTAATTACAAAAACCCTGCATAATAATAATAATAAAAATGAAAATTTATATTAATATATAGTTAGATTATCAAGAATGTGAATGCAAATTTCGGCCAGTGTAATAAAATTTTAATTTCAATAATTAATAGGTGATCATCGTCATTTTCGTCGAGTTTCGGATTTTTTAATTAAAATTTTCCTAGACGTTCTAAAAATATCAAAATTTACATGCATATCCATCAAAACCTAACTACATTTTGATAGAATTTTATGCATAGTTATTGTGGAGTTTTTGCATGATTATTAAAAATAGGCATCCGAATACTTTTGTCTAGAGAGCGTATAAACAAAAACAAAATATATAAATAGCAACAAAATATAAAATAAATACATGTAAATGATAGTATAAAGACATCAAACTATCAATAAGCTTGTTTTCAGTAATAAATACTAAATGTTACAATCAGCCTCTTTGTTGCAGCAAAAACGTAATGTTGCAACAATCAGCATCTTTTGTTGCAGAAAAACCATAATATTGCAACATACCCACGACTTTACATAAAAAACAATACATGGTGCTGCAACGTAACCACGATGCGGTTAGACCATTTTCTATTTATATATTGTCTCATTTTTAAAAACATTATTATTATAAAACATTTGATGCGGTAGGACATCTTTAAAAAATAACAAACATGGCTTACACCTAATTTGGTAATATCCATTACCAAGATGGTTACCGGTGTAAAATATCACTATATTTTGGACCAAGCTTGTTTTGGTTATTATCAATAACAAAATTCATTTTTAATTATTGTAAGAAAAATATGAAAAAGGAATGGTTTTAACATACTCGTGTGAAAAAAGAAATTGACATAACTGGAAAAGTAAGGATCGCGACCTTACTTTTTAGCATTACACAGATATTTGTACAACATTGCCGTTAGTTTCAACTCCGTAAATTCTGGCTACAAAGTTGTATTTTGTTTACAAAACCGTAATACCGTAATTTTACATTACGGATGCCAACTTTAACCACCTAGGTCTTTTTTTCATTAATAAAAACTCTCTATTTTTGCAATATTTAGAACCTAATCAACAATGAAACAGAGAATTTTATTAATAAAAAAAAGTCTTAGTAGTTTGAAGTCGCTATCAAAAATGAGATTTGGCACACTATGGATCGTTCTATTTGAAAAAAATCACTGCAATCCGTGACTAGAACAAAATTGCAAACAATAATAATAATTTGGCTAATTCTGATGCATCGAACAAATACCGTAAAGTTCCAAATAGAATCGACATCAATTGAATAAAATAGTTAACCCAAGAAGGTAATAATTTATTATATACACAGAAAAAATTAAAAATAGTAGCAAACTAAACCTAAAATAAAATTAGAATTATTATGTTTCACAAAACAAAAAATGGAAATTATTATATTCGTCGTCGCATTAAATCATACAATATCTCAAAAAAAGAAAATAGTAGAGTTTGAAAAAATTTATGGAAGAATGAGGCTGGTTGTCAATTTAACCTAGAACCAACAATGATTGGTAAATGGATTAAAGCTTGTGAAGAATGGGATGAATCAGTGAAAAATGAGATAGAAAAGCCTTTTTCCCGAGGCAGAAGAAAGACTCTATGAACGGGTTATTGAACAAAGAAAGAAAGCATTCGCTGTTACACAGTACACACTCTCTATAACGGTCCTTCTGTTTTGCAAAAAAAAACTCCCCATTATAAAGAAAGACCGTTATAGGGAATTTGCAGATCATAATCATGTGATTCATTCATCAAAGATTTTTATTAATAATAATTTGTATTTTTTTTATGTTTCAACATCCATAGATTTGATGCCTTTATACATTTTTGAAGGAGTGTTAATTCATTAACATCATGAAGTCACAAGAAAGTTGGAAGGTTGTTCTTATGTCAAATTTACAAATAATTACAGTATTATGATTCTTCTATAACAGATATATAATATGAAAGCTGATAAATGTTTGAATAATTACGATAATAGAAAGAAGTGATAATGATGTATGTATGAAGTAATGTTATGAAGATATGAAATTGTAATAAAATCAGATTAATAATAATTTATTTGTGGTTGGAAATTTCCTAATCTAGCAATTATAGTCCAGATCATGATCGTCGGCCGTTCAGGGACAGGCCGTTATTATTATACACTATAGGAAATTTAATTAAGACCGTTATATAGAGTGTAGACCGTTATAGAAAAGGTCGTTATAGAGAGTGTGTACTTGTTATAATATCACAAATCAAATGTAAAAATTTTAAATGAGCCATATTTCAAATTTATATATTGCAAAATAGTAATAGTAATTTTACATATCATGGAAAATGATCAAGAATTCGAAACATTTAATCACCAATAAAATAATTGACTCACGGAAAATATCTCACACAACGGAGAAATAAATATTCTAACATTTTAAAATGTAACAGACCTTTAATTCTCAGATTAAATTTAAACGAAGGAATTAAATGATTGGATTACTTTAGAAATAACTTGAAAATAATACAGAAGGTTTAAGGAATGCATTTAATTAGAATAAGGATTTCAAAGAAATCGGAGAACTAGATGATAGAACCTTTAACATGTATTGTAATTTTTTTAACTTCATGTATCATCTTTATCATCATCCTAAAATCGTATAATAATAACACTGTCCTTGCCCTTGTCCTTGTCTTCTAATTTTATATTTTCGTAATGATAATAAATCTATCTAACAATGGATTCGTACTAATTCTATGCATAAATTACTTTCTCTTATTTTATATTTCTCTCTATTTTTTAATTATTTTTTATTTCTTTTCTCTTCTTTTAGTGAGGTAATATTTAATGAATTTCATTTAGTAGTTTTGGGAAACGTATCTAATTTGAGTAGGGAGTAACAGTTAAGTAGGGCACCCACCAAGGAACGTGATCAGGGTATAGTGTGAAATCCAAAGAAGATATTGTTTAGTATTGCTTAGTATAAGGAATTATTTAACGATAGTGAAAGATAGTTTTGAGAGTAAAGCATAAATATACATTCGCGGAAGAAATTGTATTAGCATTGTTGGCATATAAATAAATAAAATATTGAGTTCTACTGCGGATTTTTATATCACAATATCCAGAATGCTGATAATTTTAAAATTTTGGTTATTTGGATTTTACAACGTAAAAAAAACCTTTCTTGAGAAAGCAAACCAGAATATTTGAGCAACTCCATCATCAATTAAATTCATTTAACAAATATATAATTAAAAAAAGGTTGGAATTTAATTACGAATTTTACGATATATATAATATGGATGAAACTCACATGTATTTTGATATGTTAAGAGGATTGACTGTTAATAAAAAAGGTGAAAAAACAGTACATATTAAAAGTATTGGTAATAAAAAAAATAGATTTATTGTAGTATTGACTTGTGCGGTAGGTATTTTTTAATCTAGTAATTTTAATCCTTCTTGCATAAATAATTTTATATTTGTTTTGATTAAATCGTTAAAAGTGGATTAAAATTTTCTTTAATTAAAATTGTTAATAATATTCACGCCAATATTATATTTTTAAAGGAAAAAAATTACCGCGAGATCAACAATTCCTGATGGAGCTGCAGTTTGATTTCAAGAGAAGGGTTGGGTGAATTCTGAACCAACAAAATAATATATAGATATATTAGTTGAAGACAGAGTCAATAAAGGAATTGATAAGGAACCCTGCATTAATGGTTTATGTTTCTTTTCCTGGTCACTTAGAAGAACCTGTCAAACAAAAATTTGAGTTCAATTATTTTAATTTAGCTGTTATTCCAGGTGGGTGCACAAGTATCTGCCAACCACTTGATTTTTCAATAAATAAACCATTCAAAGATCATTTGAGAAGGGATAGTGGTAATGGTGGTGTTACTGCAGGTGTTTGTCTACGGCGTGCATATATCAGTAATGTTTGCAAAACGCTTGGAATAATGTTTCTTCTGAATTTATATTAAATTCATTTAAAAAATATGTTCGTTTGATGAACCAGAAGATGATAATAATGTTTATGAATTACTTGAAGCGTTGAAAGAATTAGAGGAGAAGGAAAATATTGAAAATAGTAAATATTATTGATTTTTATTTGTTTTGCTATTACAACACTGTATTTTCTACTATGGAAATGATCGAAAGATATAGAGATGGGTCTGATTCATTTCGTCAAAAATTATTTCGTCGACAATCACTTCGTCGACAATCACTTCATCGACAGTCATTTCGTCGACAATCATTTCGTCGACACCCATTTCGTCGAAAGTTTGTTTCGTCTAAAGTTCATTTCGTCGACAATCACTTCGCCGACAATCACTTCATCAACAGTTCATTTCTACAACAATTCACGTTAATTTGCATGTATTACCAATTATGTTTGGGAGAGCGTGAATTAATTGATGATAACAATTGTTTATTATGTTTATGTGGAATAGGTTT